GAAGCCCTGCATCCTGTGGCCCCCCATTGTGAACACCGAATCGATTGAGCTGCGTGTTGTTGTTGAACTGGAGCCAAGGGCAGTACACCGCCGGCTTGATGTCTGATTTCAACTCGCCCTTTGAGCTCGCAATCGCTCCGTCAAACGCGTCGTTCTTGTCACCTTTGATATTGGTGGCTTTGGAAATATCAAACACATCGGCGTTGCGATACTTCGATTCTGAATTATCCTGCCCATGTCCTGCACCGCTGTCACGGGCGAGAACGAGAAATTGGGTATCAGAAATGAAGTGCATCTCCGACTGGCCCGCAACCTTTCCACTCTCGAGAATTGGAAGTTGTACAACATACTCGGCGTCGAGTTCGGCTTTGCTGTTCTTTAGCTTGTACTTGAGTAGACGCGTGTATCGTCGATTCGAAGACTTTTTGCCACCTTCTTGGATCGTAGCACTCTGCAACATAGCATACAAGGACTTTCCGTCTGGGCTGGCAGTGAGAGCTTCGAGTCCTTGATTGTTTCCTCGACCTGTGTCAGGATCTTCAGGCGTGGTCACCGCATCCGGATTATAGATTGGTGGGGATGCGGCATTGAAGCTGGTTACAGGTCAGTAAGCTTAGATAGCAACGTAACTCTACGATCAACTTACCTTTCGCTGCCGTTGCGAATTGGGATGAAGGCATCCGGAGGTCGAATCGCACCAATCATTCTCCCGTTGCTACTGAACTGGTAGATGTACGGACCTGATGATCGTAAGTAAGGTTTAGAACACATGCCGACATCTGCTCTGGAGATGCCTACCATACTCATCACTAATCCAGAATGAATCGTCGTCACCAAGAACAAGTCCTTCAGCGTCAACTGCGATTCGCTTTCCGCCGGGCCCAGCTCCTCCGAATCCATCGCCAGTATCTTGATAACATTAGCTGCGACCTATTGTCCTGTGGTAAATTTCGGCTTACAAGATGCCACAGGAAGGTCAGGGAATCCTTTGAAGGAGAGATGGCCGGTGGCATCTGCGTCAAGGCCTGAGATGTTGTTAATGATAACCATTTCCAAATAAACATGTTGCCATACCTGTACAAGGAGTCCCATCGGGTCCAGTAAGGAGGATAGTATCTAGGTACGTGATATGGAAATTCGGCGACGCTGGCTTCGCAGCCGTGGCGTTTGACACAACCTCAAAGGAGATACTAAATTTATGGACACGTGACTGCGTGTTTTGAGTGCCTTGAGTATTCCAGCCCCGATCGGGAAGTCCGTAGATGATGCCTTCGTATGCCTCCTTGTCTCCGCTCTTCTTCCTCCACGACTTCTTGTCGAGGGCAATTGCGCTTCCAACACCGCCAATGGTGTCTCCGAATTTGTCTCTGGCGTCACTAGGAAGAAGGCCATACCCAGCGAGCTCTTGGTAAGTGTACAACTCGCCGTTGCATGTCGTTTGGCTGACTGGTGCTGCGCGAATCACAGGCTTAGGCTTCGCAGCGACGTGGCCGATTTGAGCGAGGGCCAGAAGGCCGAGAGATACTGACAGCAGCATATTGAAGGGAAATAGGTAGTCGTGTGCCCGTGAGGTAAAATAGGAAATCGGAGCAACCACCTTCATATATATAGCCTGCAGTCCGACGCGCCCGAGAATCGGAAAGACGATGGGCGGCGGACCTGCATATTACACGTGCTAGGATTGTAGTTGGCTATGGGATAGGAAGCTGCGAGAGGCGCAATGCTCAGTAGCTCCCCCGTACTTTCTCTATGGCGCAAGATGAGCTGAATGAATAGGCATCGAATGAGCGTCAAATGAGCACGCGTTGGAGGTGGCGATGGTGAGTGGATGAGCCGGGATTCGGCCCCGTAGCGCCAACGTCCTGAATAGGCAGGTGGACGATGAGGACATTGAAGTGGCTTTTCAAATGTCCTTCATAGAGAACTATTCGTATTCTTCCAAGTGAATCGCAGGGGAGGTCTCACGCCTCGAGGTCAATGTTGGCTGGAGCTGCTTAGATGTTCTCATTCAATTTTCATTCGCGCTACTCCATTCTCGGTTTAGCGTCTAAATGATACAATCACCACCGGCGACAATAGAAGACCATAATCATGATATACCGAATGAGAATTGAAAGATCAACGTAGGGTGCTATTTAGGGTGCCCTTTCCAGCGAGCTGGCTTAGACATGTCTTAGACGTGCAAGTAGGTGATGCACAACGAATTCTATAAACGTTATTTATCGTATGCATGTTACCATAGTGATTGTTTCCTAAGTCCTTACTTCCATTATTTGTCTAGATTGAATCTATTTTAATTTACAGATATAAAGCTCCAGTTATACTATGTCTCGTACCTATTGCACTTCGGGCAAGGAATAACAATGAGCCCTTCGGCTGCGCTCCTATGTGCTTCCCTGAAAAATGAACTCAGTGATGAAAGAGTGGAATATGATCGACCAAATTACCATCCCGTAGCTGCCTCACCATTTCGCAGTGCTCGTTTGGATAGCATTGCATTTTTGCGCGAGTATTTTTGCGTGAGAGTGGAAGTGAAAGCACTAGGTTTGGACCTGATCGAAGTGAGCGCGAGAAGTGTTGACTCACCGAGAAAACCCAAAGATCTCACCCACTCCTTGTACCTTGTATATATATTTAATAGTTTAGAAGATCTTTCATCGGAAAACAGGAAAGAACCTCGCCTGGCCGTTCGGGAGGGCGCCTTGCAACTAACAACAGGTTGGGCTGACACGCAAGGGGCGGCAGTTCGAGCACTGTCGCGGTCAGCACGGCGGGTCGGGGTTCTTCTTTTTTTTCTTCTACATTCTTTTGAGACTTGTCTAGTGGGTCATGTGACAGCGTTGTATAAGAGAAATTATGCTTACAACCGTGATGCAAATGAGACTACCGATGAACGATTGCATCATTTTAGTTTTGTAGTGCGTCCATCGAGGATTTTTGTCATTATAACATTTACCGTTTCGATTTCCTCAGTCTAGGGAAATGAAGCTGCTTCTATTCTACTTTTTCTCTCTGTACAAAGAAAACTATAGTTCAAAAGATATCTGTTATTTTATACCCAGCTCTTGCCCTAGTTCCCTAACCTTACGTCTCGCGCTTAAATCTCTAGGCGAAGAGTCTCCTATATACCAGCGCGAAGATGCGAGTTCTGCTTCAAGGCTGACCTTCTTCATGCAGGGCTTGGACAACCGGTCAAGACCTACATCGGCAAAAATGGAAATAGAGTTGTACTCTAAAGCTTCCCTGTAGTGCAGGTATTGCATTTCCAGTGACCACAACCCACGCAATCAAATTCATTCTTACAGCTCAACGGTCCTTGGCGGCACCTGCAGCAAAACCATTCGCTAGATACGCTCCTCTCTCTCGAAGAATTTTCCTTCATAATCCCAAATGAACTCAAGTCAGGTGTCAAGCGCCCACCAGATCGTCTGTGTGGCAAGCTATGGAGGTGATCAAACCGCAGGTGTCTCGTCAAGTCATCTTTCTTGCTGAAAAGCCTCAAGCATTTTGGGATCGGGCATGCTTGTGGCTGATTTGTTCTATTATGACAAGCTAATATGTGGGTCTCGAGCTTGTCGACAAATGTAAAGTACGACGCGCGGTTCGTTTTTCCATGATAAGGGCAGAGCTTCTTTTGCTGGCTACATGACGCATCAACCATGACAGACTCTGCTGGGTGCTTTCGAGTAAGCCGTTCCTTCATGGAAGGACTGACTGTGTACGGGTTATTTTAGCCGGCACACATTGCAGCATGTAAATTTGGTGACCGGCAAAGATGAGCCTTAGGAATGGCGCCGCAAGATTGAATGATCTCCGCCGGAGAGTCGAAGAGTCAATGTAGGAGGATGGTTAGGTGATGATCGCTCGCGCGGTCAAGCAGGACGAGTCTATGCATCTTGCTCTTTCAAGGCAGCTCTGCACCTCCCACCCCTAGAGGCGTATACAGGAAGACATAGTGTCGCACAGATGGAACATGACAAAAATTGGTAGTTGTAAGCTTCCAAGCATTGTATTAATTTTCAATGGTTTCAAGTCTCACTATAGCCGCCTCCTAAGCTTAAAACCATTCTTATCAAGCGCCTACCAGAAGGCGCCGTGTTAGTGTCTAATAACTGCATCTGACACCACCACCACTTTTTTGATGCAATAGAAGAAATGAAAAACCTATATAAGTCCTGATGAGGGTCCTTTGAATTTGAAAGATCTCTTAAAAGCGAAAATAGTGATAGAGTACTGCGAGAGAATGCATGAGCTGGGTGCGGAGTTCTACACGAAATCATGGGCTGCTGGATACAAAGCAGCTCTATAGCCAGTAGGGATAGTTCTTAAATAGATGTTATTGAGTAACAGCGTGGCTTACGGTCCAATGTGCCGTAAAGGATTGCAGCCGCCGTAATTCAAGAATCGCCAACACCAGATGATCTTTCCGTACAGTGCGTCTGCTGATCGTGTTCCACAACCGCACTTGTGTCGCCATCCACACCGTGGCTAACGTCGCCGGTATTTTGGTTCCGGGGACTATCTCGTAACCTTCACACATCGTTATTGCCTCGCTTGGACTAGAGAGTAGGTTTAGAAGGATTATGTCGTAGGCGATACGAACGCGTAGCTCTTGCAGCAAGTAATTACTGGAGTCCTTTCTACCTGTCTAAGGCCCCTTCAGACTTCGGAGTCATCTTGGGAGCTATGATCTGATTTCATATCCCGCTTTCGATTACCGTTACGTAGCATTTGATTTTCTGGATCCCATTTTGTTAGTTCTGGATGATTAAGCTTAGCTGGCAGGGGTTTGACGCGTGTTGCCCACAAAACGCGTTGAAATCTCTTTATTTTGATAGATTGACCTATTGTAAAGAAGAACAAGAAAGCGAGACTAATCATAGTTAGCGTCATTTAAGTAAGCGTGCAAGCAACGATGAATGAACTTTTGCCAAAATCATAGTCTTACTATATAATCTAATGAATCATAATTAAATCTCATTAATTCAATTGAATTGTTCGGGGATGTAGCTCAGTGGCAGAGCGCCCGCTTTGCATTGCACAAATGCGGGAGGTCTAGGGTTCGATCCCCTACTTCTCCACTTTTTGCAATTTTTTTTTAAATTTGTCACATTTATTTTAGCATTTTCGAATCCCTTTTTGATGTAGAAATAAGTTATCGTTTGACCGAGTAAAGTTGACAACATGTTTTTTGGCTGCGCTGGTCGAAGTCTTGGCAGGATCATTAATTTCCCGAGCGACCGGCCCACGTCCTCGAACTCACCTCCGCATGGAGACCCCATCAGCACTTCCGCCATAACCATGAGGATACGCGGATCTCCAGCATGGCAGGCCGCTGCCGTATTATTTTTTCTGAGTAGAGTCGCCCAAGCCTCTCTTGGTGACAGATTGCCCGATTTCAAAGAATGCCTGCTGGTATGAAGCTCCCCTGAGAGCTTCGAGACGACTGCTAATCCAGCTGTCTAGGTCTGCAAAGAAGCAAACTGTGGGGATGACCCAACCCCAATACGTGCGTCGTCTCCTGCCTTTCATCTTAGCTTCGCAGTTTTCTCACTATTTGCCAGCTTTCCACCGCCGCATCCTCCTCTGGGATTGCCCCGCCGAGTGCGACTACTCATGCCAACATGTTGTTACGGACAAGCGACTAGCGCGCGACCCTCCCTACATGCAGCCCATCTACCAATTCCACGGAAAATGGCCCTTCTACCGCTTCCTGGGCATGCAGGAGCCCTTCAGCGTCATCTTCTCGCTCTTCAACTATCTGGCGCACGACTGGGGCATGACCCAGCTCCGGGAGCGGATCCCGGCCTCGTACCCGCTGCGGAAATACTATTTGGGGTTTGGATACTTTGGGCTGGCGAGCTGGATTTTCAGTATGATCTTCCATACAAGGGACTTTAATGTCACGGAGAAGCTGGACTACTTCGCGGCGGGAGCGAGTGTGCTGTATGGCATGTACTTTGCTCCGATTCGCGTGTTTCGCCTCGATAAGAAGGATCCCGTCAAGCAGTCTATCCTGCGCTTCTGGACTGCGCTCTGCATTCTCCTCTACACGCTACACGTGCTCTACCTCACGCTATGGTCCTGGGACTACACGTACAACATGGCGGCGAATGTCACAGTCGGAATTATACAGAACCTCCTGTGGAGTGTATTCAGTTATACACAATACAAAAGATCGGGGCGGTTATGGTCAGTGTGGCCGGGACTAATTGTTGCTTGGATCATCATGGCGATGAGTTTTGAGCTGCTGGATTTCCCGCCGTGGAAGGGAATGATCGATGCGCACAGCCTGTGGCATTTGGGGACTGTGGGTCCGACGATCTGGTGGTACAAGTATGTTGATTCTATCTATGATTGATGTAATAACACAGCTAACGCCTCATAGCTTTCTCGTTAAGGACGCGCAAGAGGACTACGCAGGTACGAGGCTCAAGCAGTAGTTAGTGGAGGAGCAATTGTGTCGTTCAATCGTACGCCATCGCTTACTCGCTTACCCGTTGCGCCCAGGCAAACTACCGACGACTGATTATGATTTAGGCGATCGGAAAGATTGAAGGATTGAGACGCATTTATAGGCTACGTCGGAGCTTTAGCAGAGGTCTTGTATATTTTGCGGGAGGTTTGGACCACGTACGTAAGGGATACCCAACAGTTAAATTGGTTTCTTCGGTTATGACTACTTCTGCTTTCATATCCTCAGCGTAGAAGGAAGAAGCACGCGTTTAAATCTTGTCGCTCTATCACAGATACTTAGCTCGATACTCATGTAATACATGGTCGTTGAACGCATACATTGCCTCACAATACTAGCTGAGACTAGAACGGCAGCTTGAACCTTCTAAGCCCACACAGAACCCGTATTAGAGTACACCTCTAAGAAGCCTAACTTATAGAACTTGGGCTACTGCTCTACGAAGTAAACAGCAAGGGGCACCTAATGCAACACGACCAACAACAGGAACGCTAAACAGAAAGAACATGACAACAGTAACCCCGAAACTTGAAAATCGCTTATGTCACACATTCACCACTCCGTAATCAATCTGAAATCCTGAATCCCTCTCCCCCTTCTTCAGACGTCCATCACCCTAATCCTCACAGGCACAATCTCTGGAAACATTACAAAGCCCATGTAAAGCAACTCCTTGTGCAAACTATCCTGGAATCCCGCGACTTCAGAACGCTAGCTATAGGCCTCCAAATGCATTACGGAGGACACACGATCTACGCTTGGGCAGAAGTAACTTTCGGAAGGACTATGACCAATATTACGGGCAGATAGAGCTATATTTAACAAAATATATGATATAGTAGGCGCTCAGATGCATAAAATGCGAGAGGCAATCACCAGTGCAAGGTACAAATTTTACTCGCTCCATCCTATATACGAAGGAGTTGGTATCTATTGAGGAATATTCTGTAGGCAATTTTACGAAGAGGCAAAAACGATTAAGCTGGCCCTGCAAAGCACTGCTGTTGTTATCAGAAACTACATTGCTGCCCAAGCAGAGGTGGCCAGATTATTCCTCAAGAAATACTGGCTCCGTCGTATAACTACCGACGAAGTCATGCAGCAATTATACAGCGGGGAACAGGAAGAGAGATACTCGGACAATCAGGCTGTATTTATTTGTATCATTCGTCATTAGATAACCCTTTCAATACGCAAAATGCATAGACCAAATGCCAGACTCCCACAACAAGAAGAAAACACAAACGCCCCCGTCCCAGCACTGCCCCAGACTCCACGCAGAAGAAAGAATACTCCAAACACAAACTCGAAACCTAATCACATCTCCATATTCGCTAGAACCTCTAACTCCCTTCTGATATCCTCCACCAACCCCTCGGCATCCTCCAAACAAATCATGTCGCACGGACCGAAGACGCCCACGTCGAGCGCGCCGTTCCGGATCGTAGCTTCGACGTCAATAGCATGCTAGAAATTCGTTAGTATATCAACATCTAAATAACGAACGAGTGCTTATACGTACCAGATACGCTGCGCCAACAGGCTCTTCCTCAAACTCCTTTGGCACTTCAAAAGCACCATGTGGAGTTTCTTTGACTCTGCTAACTTGTTCATTCCACTGCCCAGCAGGCGTGATGCTGATACTAGCACCCTCCTCGCTTTCCCTTTCCTTTTCGATTTCGCGAGTAGAATCACTCGTTCTAGTCTCCATGTCCGGCAACTTCAAAAAATTGACAAAAGTGTCAATCTGCACACCTGTCCAATCATGTATTTCATGGAGACTGACAGACGCATTCGCCGCACTGCTGATTTCTTGTATGTCGTACTGGATCTGCGCGGCTGTTTCCAGGATATCCGTCTCGTGGGACGTGGATACACGGAGGGGGACGAGATTCACGGTTGGGATGGCGGCTTGGGCGATATGGGGGATGGGGAGAGAGCGGTTTGCAAGATATACGCCAATGATGACGTCCATCTTCTCAGGGGTGGATGTGAGGGTTGCGTAGAGCTTGGCGTAGACGGCAAGGAAGAGGGAATGGGTCGATATTCCGTATTTTCGGGCGAGAGTGTCGAGGGCTTTGACGCTGGGTAGGATACTGGGACTGAAGAGCTCGATCTTGGAGGTTGGTGATGAGTGAGGTTGGTCGAGATGGTGTTGTTCAATGCCATTTAAATAGTTCTTCCAGAAGGATTGGCGTTTCTCGAGAGCGGATGAGGTACAGCTTGCAGCGAGGAACATGCTAAATGTGTTGGTTGCAGGAGGTGGTTCGATGCCATTGCAGCACTCTTGGAACTGTTGCATCAGGAGAGGAAGGCTAACGCCATCGTAAAGCATGTGATGGATCTTGAGTGTCAAGCTCCAGCCACTTGGTGATTTGGAAGCAAAGAGATGGCAATATGGCTGTTTCCATGTGCATTCTTCGATGGCTTCAGATATTCTTTGCTCGTCCCAGCCAGTGGTGTCCACAACATCTGATCCGACCTTATTGAGTACGACCTGTATATATGGCACCTGGCTATCCTTCGAAGTCAAGAAAAAGGTTCTGAAAATTGGATTGGCCTTGATCACTGCTTGCCACGCCTTCTGAAGCGTTGGAAAGGAGATGGATCCGTTGATATTGTACGCAAATTCAGGGTAGAAGTTGACTCCTTTGGAATTGAGCCACATTGAAAGCATATAAGTCTGGCCTGCAGTGTCGGGCAGTATTTGTTCAAAACTGTCCGCTTTGATATTGGCTTGTTCGAGGATAGTTGTCGTTTGAATGCTGGCTAAGGCTTCATCGAGAAAAGCTTCACTATCACCATCGTCTTCGTTAGATATCGCTACACGACCATCCACGACCTGTGCCATCTTCTCTACTGTGCCAGCCTTGAGCATCTCGCCCACGCTAAGTATGATAGAGCGTTTTCGAAGAAGGGAGGAGACTTTGATAGCACTGATAGAGTCGAGACCAATGTGGAATATTGTCATGCCTTCGGTGATTTCGTTCTCTGGAATTTTGGACACGAATGCTAGGGTTTCGCGGATACTCTTTGCCGTGGGAGAATCAAAATGGCTGGAAACTTCCTCTTCGGCCTCGGACGCTTCGTCATTAGAGCCTTGGTCCTGCTCATCTTTGAATGCTGGGAGTCCGCATATTGATCTTCCATTTGCCTCGAAACCGATAGTAGGAGAATCTGGCTGCTCGATGATGTTCTTCAACACTTGCTCCAATCTTTCGAGCAGCTCTTTTGCCCCAGCGTTATCGAAAACCTCTTCTTTGACTGCACATCTCCATACTAGTTCTTCACCGACAATTTCCATCTCGACGCAAACTGGATACTCAACATCGCTCTGGCTTTCCACACTCTCGTACAAACTGTCTTTTTTCGTGTTGCTGTCATCAGTTCTCTTCTGGTAGATAAACAGACTTCCGAATAGATTGCCTTGTACACCAGCCAATGCCTGTGCTTTTCGCAGTGGGAAATGCTGCCACTGCTTGATGTTCGCGAAGTTGTCCTGCACGTACTGCAGCATCTCACGACGAGTTCCATGGAGGATAGTGCGAATCGCTACGGTGTTCATGGTAGGAAAAAGGATGTTGGACATGTCCTCATTGTCACGTC